TGCAACCCCAAAAGTTTGTAACGCCGCGAAATATTGGTCCTAGACCCACCTTTAAGAATACCGAACGTCATATCTCGACTAGCTGAGTCGATCTAGACATGTGTGTCCGTCCGTCCGTTCGTCTGTCCATTATAATTTGTAAACACGATACAGGCCACAGTTATGGACCAATCTTCACGAAATTTTGCATGTAGGATGGGTTCTGGTCAATGAAGACCCCTATTGTTTTTGGAAAAGATCGGTTAATATTTAGGGGATGAAATGGACCAAATACTTAATTTTTGTCGGTTTTTCTGGTCGCTCCAGAGGCCGCAATTATGGCCCAAACATCGCGAATTTTTGCATGGAGAAGGGGGTCGGGCCAAAGAATAAGCATGTCTGTTTTGATAAAGATCGGTCAATATTTAGCGGGTCAAATGGACCCTGACTTTTGTGTGAAAAATTACAAAATTTGTATTCTATAGCGTATATATTTACTCCTGAAGGACATAGACTCAAGAAGTTGATAGTATACCCAAGAGGAGTGGTTCACCTTTAAATTGATACCAATTATATGGTCGTATGTACTCGGATATGGGAGTTATACGTAAATATTTTCAGGAGCTTACGTATTCATATATTATTTAGTAACATATTGCCACAATAGAGGGGGGAAATATAGCGCTCATCGTTTTGAAATTTTCCTGAGGATCCAGGTATGGTCAAGGACAACGCCTAAAATTTCTGTGATGATCAGAATAAAATTTTGGGATGAAGTGGAACCAAAACCAAATATTTTGTGTGTTTTCGAGTCAATCTATAGGCTACAAAACCGAAAATCACAACACACGGTGAAGTGAATCTGGACAAGTAATTAGAAGGGCTGTACAGAATATTGGGATATTCGGAAAATATGTCAATGTAAGGAAGAGCTGCTATTGATCTCTAATCGGCCAAGAGGTAAAATATCACGAAAAATTGATCAGGCTCGAAATAAACATAAGCAAATATTAAAGTTCTGTGGTAGTTGTGTAGGGTATCATATGGTCGGTCCTGTCCGACTATACTGCTCCGCTCACTGGTTTTTTAACTTGGTTTTTGGCCAAAAATCGGCGATTTTCCTAAAATATTTTTTTAAAGGTTCGCCATTTTGTTAACTTTATAGCGAAGTCAATAATCCTAGTTCATACGAGAGCCAGACATGTACTCTTTCTAACACCTTTGGAATTTTCGGATTCCGATGTTCCAGTTAATTCAGTTCCCTTAATTCAGTACAATACGAGATATATAGGGACTTTGGTACTCAATTTACATCAAATCGGACTAAAATATATATATGGGAACTATGTCTACACATCATATTAGAATTAATTCAATACGTCATGCCAAATTTTGTGCAAATTGAAAGATATCTATATAGGAACTTTAGTACACCAATTACCAAAAATCGGACGAAAGTATATATGGGAGCTATATCTAAATCTGAACCGATTTTCACGAAACTTAGCACATATCATTATAGACTTTATTCAGTACGCCAGGCCAAATTTTGCGCAAATCGAAATAAATATAGGGACTGTTTGGGTAACATTTATATAAAATCGGACGAAAATATATATGGGAGCTATATCTAAATCTGAATTGATTTTTCACACTTTCAATAGGGTTCGTCCTTGGGCCATTTAAACGAGCTGTGCCAAATTTCATCTAATTCGGATCATAAATGCAACCTTTACTTTGTTTACAATTTAACATGAGCGGATGGACATGCATAAATCGACTCAGAAACTGATTCTATACATATTCTCAAAAATAACCATGTGTCTATCTCGTTTTCTTTCCATGTTACTTATGTTTGTAAGTCATAATATAATACATCTTCTATTTTTTTTGAGGACTTGTGGCAACATCGCCCAACATAACCAAAATATCGACCATTTGCTTCCAAGTGTTTCTTCTACGAACATTTTTAATCGAGCTCTTACACGTGGATCCATGATATGCCACCGTTGAAGATCTTAGAAACGTGTTCGTATTTTTCTACCCCCCCATCATAAGGTGGAGTGTTTATTTAAATTTTCTTTCCGTTTACAACACCTCCATATATTCACCGGAGACTCCATAAAATATATCGATGTTTAATCAGAATAATATTCTATGTCCATCGCTTTGTCTAATGAAATCACTATATAGCATGTAATATGTATGGTATGGTTTTGGTACTCCTAAGTATTCGGTGATTTTGGCACGTTTTTTTTTTAACAAAATTGACTGTAATTTGGCACTTTGGTTTTCCATTGGGCAAGTCACATGACCAAAAATAATCGATATGAGTTCCCTTTTTCTCTGTATTTTGAGGAGTTTGGGAACATTTTCCAACAAAATTGCTTACAATGTGGCATGCTGAGATTTCATTGGGTGATACATCTTTCTACCAAAACTTTTAAATATTCGTCAAGTTTTTACGATAGCTCCCATATAACGGAGCCACCCAGTCTTTGGTGTATTTTGGGTATTTTTACCAGGTTTTTTTTTTCAACAGAATTTACTGTAATATTGTATGTTGGTTTTTCATCGTTTAAGGTTGGCTTAAGTTCCCGTTGTAAAGTACTGAGAGTCTTTCTGGGACCCACTTTTGTTTAATGTTTCTTCCGTCTGCCATCAGCTGTTATCGCTTCGGCCGGCAAACCATCTTCTCTTGTTGTTCTCTTACTTTTTATACCCTTCACCACACTGTGGTACAGGGTATTATGTCTTTGTACATATGTTTGTAACAGGCAAAAATAATCGAGATAGACCCATGGTTCCTTTTGAGAATATGCATAGAATCACTTTCTGATTCGATTTATGCATGTCCGTCTGTCTGTAAATGTTAAATTGTAAACAAAGTACAGGTCGCATTTATGATCCGATTTGGATGAAATTTGGCATAGGTCACTTGTTTGGCCCAAGGACGAACCATATTGAAATTGGGGAAAATCAGTTCAGATTTAGATGTAGCTCCCATATATATTTTCGTCCGATTTAAGGAAAATGGCGAACAAAAATCCCTATATATCTTTCGATTTGCACGACATTTAGCACAGCGTAATGAATAAGGTCTAGAATGATGTGTGTTAAGTTTCGTCAAAATCGGTTCAGATTTAGATATAGCTCCCATATATAGCTTCGCCCGATTTTATGTAAATAGTCCACTAAAGTCTCTGGAAATCTTTTGATTTGCACGAAAATTGACACAGTGTAAAGAATAAGGTCTATAATTATGTCTGCCAAGTTTCGTGAAAATCGGTTCAGATTTAGATATAGCTCCCATATATATTTTCGTCCGATTTTATGTAACTGGTGCACCAAAGTCCCTATATATCTTTTGATTTGCACGAAATTTGGCACAGCGTAATGAATTAGGTCTAGAATGATGTGTGCAAAGTTTTGTGAAAATCGGTTCAAATTTAGATATAGCTCCAATATATATTTTTGTCCGATTTAATGTAACTGGTGCACCAAAGTCCCCATATATCTTCCGATTTGCACGAAATTTGGCACAGCGTATTGAATTAGGTCTAGAATGATGTGTGTTAAGTTTCCTGAAATCGGTTCAGATTTAGATATAGCTTTTATATCTGACCAAATGAAAAATTTAGTATCGGTTGCAGAATGACACGTCTATGAATCCAATTTCATTTTATTGGTCCTTTAAAAATGCGACGTCTGTTAAGATTCATCTGTTGAATATACCCAAAGTGGTGAAGGGTATCATATAGTCGGCCCCGTACGACTTTACTTCTTTCCTTACTGGTTTATTATGGGTTGCACGATATATTAAGTGTATTTTCCATTGGGCTGCTATTGAAAATTTCGCAATTTTCAGTGGTTTTTCTGACGTTACTGTTTTCTTAGAAATGTTCTCTCCCTCTCTGAGTTTGTTTATCATTGTTTGTTAGTAGCCTACCATTACGATCATTAATTGCTTGTCTTGGTATCCTGGTACACTTCTTCTATTTGTGAGGCTATCTATTGTTCGGTGTAACTTTCGCATGCTATTCTGGCTAGCTGCTTCCTCGGCTGTTTTTGCCTGTTTTTGGGGCTGCCATCTATCGTTGCCTAAGTCCAACGACTCCTTATATCTTGGGCAGTGGTTGAGGTCTTTCCTTTTTTAGTGTTAACATTTTTCCACTGGGGGCGTTTTATCCTGATATCCTTATTTCGGCAATTCTCATGTGTTGATGTTGATACCGAGTTCGCTGATCTGACCTTAACGGTTCTTTATTGATCTGACAGTTTATAAGCCCATTTTAATACGCACAATTCAACTATACACGACCTTAGTAAAACATTCGTACTTCCTTCCTAATTTTATCTATATATCCCAATAAAAAGAAATATTGTCCCGAATTCTCTATCAATGTAAATACCATTAAATTTCTTTTTTCCCTCCATTGTTGTTAATAAAACATCCATTAAATTAGTCTCTGATGTCATTGTCACACAAATATAAATCCTCACTGTTAATGGGATTGTGATAAACTTGAATTACATTTAGTTAGAAACCTGGGTAATTTGTAACCCCCAATCCCCAAAAAAAATCCAACTGTGTAATAAACATTTAATTGATAGTAAATGTTGTTTTTTTGGCGGGGGGATACACAGACTAACACAACGACATTGCCATAAAATTAGGATGGCATAAACAAATCAGAAAATCAATTAACTAAATGTTGACTACAAATTATAATGAACAACAACAACAACGAACACCATACATAATTACTTAAAGTTTTATATGAGACTAAATTATACCCCATCCCTCTCTCTCTCTCTCTTTACAGATAACTACGTGGTAATAACATTTTTCCCATCCATCCCCAACGAATCTCAGGGTAATAGAAGAAGCAGAAAGGAAAAAGAAGGCTGGCTGTGTGGTCGTCGGTCACACATACACATTCACTCAAGGCATACTAAAAACCAGGGCGTTGACTTGTCTACACCAACAATAACGACCGAGGAAAATCCGATATTCCAACATGTCCACAACACCAAAAGAAAATCATCATCAGCCTCACCATGCCACAGTTCAAAGTCATACGATTTTGACCCAACTGAAACAGGCTTCGGCGGGAGCAGCCTCAGGATTTTTTACACGAACCATTACCCAACCATTTGATGTCCTCAAGATACGATTCCAATTACAACTGGAACCCGTGAGTGAGGATCATCCCTCCAAATACCGTTCATTGGTACAGGCCAGTAAGCTAATCTACAAAGAAGAAGGTCTCTTGGCCTTTTGGAAGGGTCACAATGCCGGCCAAATGCTCACCATGCTCTATACGATATTCCAATTCTGGTCCTATGAACAAATCGATTTGAAGCTACGTCAATACGAATATTTGGATCAAAATAAAAATACAAGGCATTTTATTAGTGGTGGTGTGGCTGGGTGCGTGGGAACCACAATCTCAATGCCATTTGATGTGGTCCGCACCCGGGTGGTGGGTCAAGATCCAAATCGTAAAAGCAGTGTGATACACATTATTCCAAATATTATCAAAACTGAGGGGTTCTATGGTCTGTTTCGTGGTCTCGGTACGACACTGATACAAATTGGCCCTCTGATTGGCTTCAATTTTGCCTTCTATCACAAGACCAATGATCTGTTTATGAGCATGGCTGAACCACCCAATCATCATTTGCCGGTGGTGGTGCATTTGTTTACTGGCGGTGTGGCCGGTGTGGTCTCCAAGGCCATTGTCTACCCCCTGGACTTCATTAAGAAACGTCTACAGCTGCAAGGTTTCCAAAATGCCCGTCGTACCTTTGGCCGCAATCAAGTGTGTTTCGGTATTGGTGAATGTATACGGCTGACCTATCGAGAAGAAGGTATCCTGGGCTTTTACAAAGGCATGAATCCCACACTCATTAAATCCGGACTCACAACAGCGCTCTATTTTAGTTTATATGATATTTTCAAAGCCACCTTTGTACCCGAATTGGAATCTGACGACTCATAGATATACTCTCCTAACTGTTATACTGACTTTATACGTTTACGTAATTAAGTTAAATTATTAATTAAATCTATACTTCTTACAACAACAAATAATATATGACGAAAGATGATATTGAAAAAAATACTTAAAAACAAAAACACAGAAACTAGAAAAGAAAAACTATGCTACTCAGATGCTTGAAATGTAACTTTAAGACAAATATATAAATAAATAAAAAAACAGGAAAAATTGCTCTATATTTTAAGAATTAAGGTTTTAAGAATTAAGGTTTTAAGAATAGGGGTATATGGGGCTGACTTATTGTTCTATGAAAATGTGAAAAATACAACTTTTTATAAAGCGAATTAAAAAAAAGAAGTTATAGTTGACTTTTGGATTTTTTGTAATTCCTTTCTTCAACATGGGATCCTTGAAAATTGTTTTTATATTAAATCTCTCATTCCTCCCTTTGCAAAACCTCGAAATATTTACCAGAGACCCCTGAATACGTGAGCTGTTCGGAAACTTCTTAGCCGGTCAATGAAAGAGAATATTTAGTTTATCAAAAATATTTTTATTTTTCAATATAACCTCCTGAAACTTCAATACACTTAGTCCAACGCTTTTCTAGCAATTTTATCCGTTGAATAAAATAGTTTTCCTCAAGGTTTTCGAAATAGTGGTTTATAACTGTAATTACATCTTCATTTGAGGTAAAACGCTTGCCAGCAAGGATTTTTATACCCTCCACCATAGTATGGAGGGTATATTAATTTTGTCATTCCGTTTGTAACTCATGGAAATATTCATTTCCGACCCTATAAAGTATATATATTCTTGATCAGGGTAATATTCTAAGACGATCTAGCAATGTCCGTCCGTCTGTTGTAATCACGATATCTTCTGAAGGAATTGAGATAGGGTGCTGAAATTTTGCATAAAGTTGTCTTTTGTCTGCAGGCAGGTCAAGTTCGAAGATGGAATATATCGGTCCACGTTTAGGCATAGCTCCCATATAAGGGTATCCGCCAAATTTCAGTAGTTTGGGTATCTTGAGCGCGTTTTCAGCCGAATTCGCTGAAATTTGGTATATTGGGTTCTTATTGGGAACTAAGTGTCTCCACAAAAAATTATAAGTATGGGTCCACTTTTTCTGGTTGCCCCCATATAACGGTACCTCCTAATTTTCAGTATTTTGGGGGTTTTGGTCGTATATTTCCACCAAATTGGCTGTAATTTAGTATTTTGAGTTCTTAATTGGTACTAAATCTCTCCACAAAAAATTATGAATATAGGTCAATTTTTTCTGGTACCCCCCCATATAACGGTACCCCTCAATTTTCAGTATTTTGGGGTTCTTGAACGCGTTTTTCAGCCGATTTCGCTGAAATTTGGTAGATTGGGTTCTTATTGGGTACTAAATATCTCCACAAAAATTTATAAGTATAGGCCCACTTTTTCTGGTAGCCCCCATATAACGGTACCTCCTAATTTTCAGTATTTTGGGGGTTTTGATCGTATTTGTCCGCCGAATTGGATGTAATTTAGCATTTTGAATTCTTTATAGGTAATACATCTCTCCACAAAAAATTATGAATATAGGTCCATTTTTTCGGATAGCCCCCATAAAAGGGTCCCCAAAATTTTCGGTATTTTGGGGTTCTTCAGCGCGTTTTTCAACCGAATTTGCTGCAATTTGGTATTTTGTAGTCGTATATGGTAACAAATCTTCCTACTAAAAATTATTAATATTCGCACCCTTTTTGGCGTAGTCCCCATATACCCCTTTTTATATTAAATTAGTTATCTGATTTGTTCTGCGTTTTGGGTTTGGTTCTAAGACTCGGTTGTAATAATTTCACCTGCGGAGGATAGAACGTAAAGTTAGATTATGTACTATATATGAACTATAGCCCGGATTTAGGCCTAGCCCCTGTGTGGGACGTGCCAGAAGGAGTGGACCGATATTTCCCATCTTCGAACTTGAACAAAGTTTGGAATAAATAATAAGATAGGCAAAGTTTGGATGAAATTAAAATTTTCTGAAATGGATTTGGTCCAAAAAAACGTGGGGTCTGGAACCAATATTTCGATGAGGCACATTTTCATCATTAGCTATAAGGCTGAGGGTATAATTATCCTTTAAAAATGTCTAAAATTTTTATTAAGGTTTACATAATCCGTTTTTAGAAATGTCGGTATAGGTCCACTTTTTGATATGTTTCCTATATTTTCATTTATAGTACCTGTCAATATAACTATGGTGGAGGGTATCCAAAGTTCGGCCCGGCCGAAGTTACCGCTTTTTCACTTATTTTTATATTAAATTTCTCATTCCCTTTGCAAAACCTCGAAATATTTATAGAGAGGATTTTAGCCATTGTTCAAACAATCTTGTGCGCTGGTGCGTTGTCTTGATGAAATTTTTTATATGTTTTACGAGTAAACCAGGACGTTTTTCTCGAATGTGTACATTTAATTGATCCAAAAGGTTGCAATAGTACTCTGAATTTATTTGAAGTCCTTTTGAAAACTGTTGCCTTACCAGTCGATTGAATTGTTTTTGCCTTCTTTGCGGCACTTCCTCCAGCTTCAGTCAATTGTTTGGATTGTTCCACACGATGCGTCTTTTTTGAACACCTGTTTCTATATGAAGGAATTGCCAGATCGAAACAAAATTCAACATGTGTTCAACAGAGATGGAAGTTTCCAAAACACTTAACTTTTTTTCTGTTTATACCGCGCTTTTAGTGCTAGGCTAAAAAGATTCCGAACTGCCTTCGTATACAAAAAATGATCGCTATGGTCTGATCAAAAAATTAACTGGTTTTTTATTCATCAATAACTATCATGTCCCCTTGAGAATTACTTTTCCCAAACATCGTTGTTTTCCAATCCTCGAAATAGACAATAATTTTCAATTTTTCTTTTTATCTCCTCAATTTTCGTCATCAGTTTTGGAAAGAGGTAAAAGTCAGTGGGGTTAGTCCCCAGTGAATACGGTGATGGACACTAGAGATGTTCCATCGAGTTTCAGCTGATTGCTCTTTTTAGTTAGTCTCTTTTGAGTAAACTAAATCGGTCTTCTAGTTTAAACGTTCACAATAAAGTTATTTTATTCTGCTGTTGCTTTAGATCGGTCGTTCTTTCAATAGTTTGGGAAGAGGAAAAAGTCATTGGGGACCAATTCCGGTAAATAAGGTAGTGGAGACTAGAGATTTTCTATCAGGTTCAGTTAGCCGATCGATTTTTTTAGTTCAATTCCTTTGATTCGGTCTTCTAGATCGGTGGTTCTTTTATTAGTGAACGATTCGAAGAGCGATGAATTCTCTAAGAATCGTTCAGTTCAGAATTTCTAGATTTATAAAGAAAAGTTTCAGAATGATTCATAACAAACGTTTCAGAAGAATTGATGGACCCATAAGGTGTGGATTTTTAAAGAAAAGTTTAAGAAGAATCGATAAGAAACATTTTAGAATATGTATGCACATATCGACGCTTCCGAACCATAGTATGTTAAGTCGACTTAGCATGTTTTAAAGTTCTTTACTTTTTTAGATAGTACGGTCCTTACTTTACATTCACTGAAATTTTGGGAATCATCGGCCAATCAAAACCAAAGTTATAAGCAAAAATGTACTTAGCATGGCACGTACGATTAAAGAAACTTCCATACTTTGAAAACTTCTACTGAAAAACTCACTTTTCAGACTTAGCTTACTATGGTTCGGAGGCGTCGATATGTAGTGTAGGTTTTTAAAGAAAAGTATCAGAATAAATCTTAAGAAAAGTTTTGGAAGAATTAATCCTTTATGCCAACAATTCGTAGGGTCCACAATTGGTGAATTTATGTAGTCTAGGCAAAAGAAAAATTATCGACATCTATTACCAAATCCGTGTTTAAAATACTCCCATGGCTGTCAAAAAAAAGTTATCCGAAAGTTATCCACTGTATGATAATTTCACCATGAATATTTTCCTCTCGCTGGTCTAATTAAGAAATATTTTTTTTCCCACCATTGTAATATTGTATCCAGCCATCGATGTCATCGGAATAGCAGACGTATGAAAATGATTAAATGCATGAAGATTAAATGCATGATCTACTACCAATCGTTCCTGGTTCGAAATAGTTGCTTTGAACTAGTTCGCTTCAGTATGACAACACTCTATCATCTAGTTCATTTAGGATCTGTTTGGCGAGGTTCGTTTCTAAAGTAGAATTGGGTATTATTTTTTTGAATCTGTTCGATATTTTTCGATTCGCACCATGTTTGGTAGACGTCAGTTCATTTGGTCATTGAATCTAAAGGAACTTTGTGAACCAGAGCAAAAAGGATCGACTGGGTCAATAGAAATTAAATTAATGAATGAACAGACCTAGTACCGGTCGTTCCAGGTCCGGAATAGTAGCTTTGAACTAGTTCGTTTCAAGTTTCTTTTGATTAAGTCGTTCGATTTTGCTCTCGAATGAGGATATTGCACAATTTTAGACATCTCAAAGGCTCTTGCGCATGTAATTCCATTTTATACATAAAATGTTAATAATGAATGTTTCCATTTCCCCGATTTTTACGTCTAGGTTTTTTGTCTGTCAAAAACAAGCTGACATATTTGACTGATATTGAGGACAAATGGAGAACATCGAACAGACGTTGCCCATGAAATTTGAAAAAAAAAAACGTGCAGAGGAGGTATTTTTCGACTAAAGAATTTGTAGTTTGTTTAGCAGCTCCTAGTTCATATGGGGAAACGTCCGAAGGACCCAGATATATTGGTGGACTTTTTTATGTTGTTTCGATTTTGTGATTAGTGTGTTGAACATCAGTGCGTGTTGAACATCGCCAGTGTTCATCTTCGTATGTTTTATAATTTGCCAATTATTTTGCTAATAGAGGAATGTAAATTTAGGAAAAACAGTTTATTTTTAAAATTTTATAAAACAATGATTTCAGACCCAAACTATCCCAAAAAGGTCTCACTTAATGTACTAAACTCAGAAGAAGAAGAAGAAATAACAA